CCACTTCCGTAGCGAGCGACTACGTCATGCGATAAAACATGCGACTAATCATCACCTGACGCAGCCCTTTATTGTAAAATTAATAACAAATCGCTGCGAAACGCCTGCCTACGCAACCAATCACTGGCCACTGTGGAGGTGAAAAACGACCCATTGCGAGGATGTATATTATTAAGGAGCAGGCTTAAATATGTTTAAGATAGGTGAGTTGGAAACATTTGTTTGTTCATTCAGCAGTCCAATTTTTTTTTAATTTGTGCAAGCAAGTATGCTGATCTAGAAAGACCAGTATAACTGTAATCTGTAAGATCTATTGTGATCGCTGCTATAGTTCACTGCTAAATCCTGTCTTCAATGAATTGAAGGAGTTGTTTGGCAGTGAGCAATTTCAATTCTTCTGGGCTTAGTACATAGTTTCCGTTTCCCATATCAGTGTTACGTTTGCGCATTAAGAGTCCACATTCAGTTAGGATATGTAGAAGAGTTTCTTCCATTAATAAACAGAATTGGCACATCTTTAAGTTGCTTAGTCCCAGGATGGACATTTTCTTTTTTGACAACGGATTCCTATCGGGGCTCTTACCAAAATACACAGTTTATTCTTACTTAACCCCTTGGCTTATGAAGCGGATTGACGATCATAAGCCCGGATTAAGGTATTAGAATGTGTTAAGGCTGTTGTATCAGACCAGATCTTAAGTGATTTATTGCGACAAATAGTTTCAAGGGTCAATCAGGCCAGACTTTTTAAAATTCCACGAAATGACGCAGATCCAAATTGTGTACTTTAAACCCTTCCGTGCGAGCTTGTCAGCGAATTCATTGCCTAAAATACACGCATGACATGGAACCCACCTCAAAACGACCCTGTTGTTACACCCGGGGGCGTTTAGACGGTTCTTCACAGTCTGCAACTTGCTTAGAGGCCACTTTTCAAGTTTGATCTCAGCTCTAGCAGTGCTGCTTGACTATCAAAGTTTATATAGACAATATGGTTGATGTAGTGTTTTTTTGCATGTTGATTTCCGGTAGCGAAGAGGTGAATTTCACTTGGAACACTTCACTTCACTATGGGGCACTCTACATAAATTCCAAACTACTCTACGGTATCGGTATGCATGCTGGTTGTAATATATGGGCCTCATAACTACAGCTTATATATTATGTATTTAGAAGAATGGAAGATAGGCTTATAGGTCTAAAGGACTTTGGTAGGGTGTAGTCCTTTCTACCTGTTTCAGGTATTATTTATTATATAATTTGCATGCCACAAGAAATACATCATACATCAAGTGACGCCCCGTAGGGTCATAGCAATTTATAAGAGGGTAGTTATTTATTTTATTATACAAAATATTAACTACTACATACTAAATACCAACTATCTTATTTCTTAACATTTGCTAGTCTAACATCAATTTTTTTTAAATTATTACACATACATTTACTATTTATTTGCATCTATAAAGAATTCACTTAAATTATAATAACTTTTATCGATTAAGAATGACTTTAATTTTTTTATAAAAGACTTGGTATTGTCAATATTTTTGAAGTTATTTGGAACATTATTATATATTTTAATTACCATCGTATGGGGACCTGTTGTGAATAATTTTAATTTTGAGAATTGAATATTCAATTTATTTTGAGTTCGATTATTTCTTTTAACAGTATTTACAGGATCGTATAGATTTGGATGTTTTCTAACGAACTTACAACATTCAATAATGTAAATAGACGTAAGTGTGAGTATACTAAGTTTTCTAAAATGTGGTCTGCATGAGTCCGTTTTTTGTATATTTGTCAAGATTCTGATACATTTTTTTTGCAATTTGAAAATATTATCTATGTCAGTACAGTTACCCCAAATGACTATTCCATAAGTTAGTATAGACTGAGCATACGCATAATACGCCGAAAGAGCTGTTTTTAAGTCAGTAACTTTTTTCAAATGTATGAGTGCAAATATAAATGAGGACAATTTACTCGTTAATTAAGTATAAATGAAACCTTGACAATTGTCCATTGTTCTGGAATATATCCCCATGCAGGATTTGATCTGAAGATTTTCACCAGATAAGGAAGAAGGAAATCGATACCCCCCTGTATATTTTAATTGTAATTACCTACATTCGCGAGGCGTCCCGGGCTACATATTATGTACGCAGTCGGGACTAGCGCGTTTTAGTTTTTTGGAAATACTTGTTGAAATAGTTTTAGTTTAGTGTTTACTATATTTAATTGTTGGATCAAATAGTTTTTTAAGTAATTTAAAAATAATATACAATATGTATATTACTTATCTATTTGATAAATTATAATAGTAAGATAGGCTGGCTCGAAAGGATATGGTATTAACGTCAATGGCGAATAGATCACTCACCTTCGATTTGTCGACGATATATTCCTTATGGACTGACCTAAGCACTACATCATTTACTAAATTACCGAAGGACAATGAAAGGTGATTTTTTTTTGTTAGATAGGTACTTATAGCAAAAACCGGCAAAGTGCGAATCGGACTCGCGCACCGAGGGTTCCGAACAAATCTGTACGTATATAAGTCTAAAAATTTATGCTTTTCGCAATTTTCCCTTTATCTGTGCTATAAAATGTTGCTTCGTACCAAATTTCAAGATTCTGAGTTCACGGGAAGTAGGTTTTGATTCCCTTGCGAATGTCGAAAATTTACGGCATAATCTTTTGATTGCGTTGGCTTAGAAGTTTGATTTTTTTCACAGCTCTAAGGGACAGTAGACTTGAGTATTTGATATGAATTTCAGTTTGATACCTCCACGCGTTCCTGAGAAAAAGGGTCTTGACCGACAGAAAGACAGACAGACAGACGGACAACAAAGTGATCCTATAAAGGTTCTGTTTTTTCCTTTTGAGGTACGGAACCCTAAAAAGTAAAGACGTAGCTTTTAACTTTTAATGTTATCCTATACTTTCAGCGAGCAATTCTTGTGTATCTAACGATTGGGTTGATTTTTTTGATAATATTTTACTTTCCAAGTTCATCTTTTTCCCCAGTGCCAGCTTCTTCCACTTGACCGCATCAAGCGCAGAGCAGCTCTAATCGTCGACGACCAAGTCCTTTCCGATCGGCTCGATTCAATGGCACTGCGAAGAGATATTGCATCCCTTTGCATTTTCTTTCGCATCTACCACGGGGAGTGCTCTGAGGAATTATTCGGATTAATCCCAGCCGCAAAATTTCGGGAACGCACATCGCGGCAGAACTCCCGATACCATCCACACCATCTGGATAATTGGCGGTCCACCACTGTGCGATTTAGAAGATGTTTTCTTCCTCGCACGACTTCCTTGTGGAATCAATTACCATCAGCGATTTTTCCGGACCGATACGGCTTAGGGACCCTGAGAAAATTGTAGTTTTCTTTGTAACACCGAGCAAAGCTCGGCGACCCAGATACTATGAATTGATATTCTATGCAAAGTATATTTTTTTTTGTTTATGTAATATATAACGTATATTGAAAAATTTGTTGATGCCTTATTTCATTTAAATGTTTGAACGACGTAGCTTAATGACCTGTGTGCCTAGTGCGAGTTTTTTTACGCGTTCGATACCGAGAAAGTTAATTACAATTTGTATGGAATAAAATCAGCGCCAACTAGTGGCAATAATCGGAATCACAATTCATGAGTGCGAGTTTATTACGTTGTCGATATCGACCATCGAGCATTCTCTCGCATTCGACAGTGAGAACGTAAACGCACGTGATTGGTTGTTTCAAGTATTTTGCGAGTGCGAGCGCCGATTTTGATCGTTCAATACGTAACATAAACAAACTTTACGCCGTCGATATCGAAAAAGTTTTCACCTAAATTTTGACAGTGAGAAAGCATAGTGAGAACGATTGTTGAAGGTTTAATTTTATTTCGTTTTGTGTGAACAATATTTAATTATGGCAGGACGTTTTTTTTCGCATGGAGGATGTTTGCAGCCGCTAAGGCACAAGATGAGCGCAATTATAACGCCAATGTTGAAAGAAGAACTCGTGCATCTTTCAACCCTTTGTTACATCTCACGGGGAGGCACTTTAAAGATAGATATCGCATTTCCAAGAAAGTCTTCAAGTTTTTGTGTAAAGAGCTAAGGAGTTTGACAAATCTTAGGTCCTCTCAACGCGTTTCCTTGGAACATAAAGTATGTATCGATCATTAAAGTATTCACATTTTTGCAACTCAAGTTTAAAACAAGTGCAAGTTTAAATATAAGTTTGTTCTCTTTTTAATTGCAGGTGCTCACTGCTCTATTCTTTTTTGCAACTGGATCCTACCAAAGGCCAGTTGGGGTTGCAAAGCACACATCTCAAAAAATGTGCAGTGTGTACATAGAAGAAGTTACTCAGGCGCTGACACACAAAAATATAATAAATAAATATATTCGGTTCCCTGATACTCCAGCTGCTAGACAAGTAGTTAGTCAACGATAATAAATATATGCTTATTTTTAAACAACCTAATGCAAATTAATCATTAGATTCAGTTAATATTTATTTTAAAATTCAGTTTTTACAGAAAATATGGAATCCCTGGAGTGGTAGGTTGTATTGATGGAAGTCATTTTAAAATAGTTGTCCCACCAAAAGAAGAGGAACATTTGTATTATAGTTGTAAGCACTACCATTCATTTAATGTTCAAATGGTAAATCTTAAGTTTTTTTATTTTTTATTATTCCTTGGTTAAAAAGGGGTAGAAAATAAACAAAATGTCTTCTTTTCAGGTATGTGATGATGAAAATAGAGTTTTAAATGTGAATTCCAAGTTTGGAGGTGCAAATCATGATTCCTTTATATGGGAAAACAGTAATTTAAACACATGTGCAATCTTTGCACCGAAATGGAGAAATTGTCTGGCTTTTAGGTAATATATCCACAGTATAACTTATTGGGATGTTTTGAGTTATATGAAGTATTTTTAAGTAAAACATTACTAAATAATTTCTATCTATATTATTGATAATAACATGTATATTTTAACTCTAGGAGATTCTGGATATCCCCAACTCCCATGGCTTATGACACCATTTTTAGACGCTGAGTCCAATAATTATAATGAAAAACACATGAGAGCTCGAGTTGTTATTGAAAACACATTTTCAAGGCTGAAAAATCGATGGCGATGTCTGCACAAGGATAGAGTTTTGCACTACAAGCCCGTAAAATGTGCACACATTATTTTAGCATGCTCTGTGTTACATAATATAATTATTAATTTTGGTGTTGAGGATACAGAGGAAAATATAGGTAGGTATCTTAATTTTAAATTGAATTACTATAATATATTAAGCTAACTTATAAATAGTAAACTTATTAATTATGATTTATTTTTAGGTCTGCAATTTTAAAGGAGAATGGTGGAATCTGATCAAATAAGTTACACAGAAAGAGAAGCTACCTCTGATTTAATTCGAGGCAGAATATTAAGAGATCAATTAGCAAGAAGGTTACTATAGGGATTAAATAAATAAATTTGAATAAGCTTAAATGTTTCTTTTATTTATAACCAGCCTTAAATTTTATCACAAATTTAATAAGATAATTACAATTACAACTTAATACAATAATTTAATAATTACAAGAACATTGAAACAGAACAGAAAAGTAATCTAAATCATTTTGTAGAGCCATGCTACAGCTATAATAGTAGTATAGTTGTAGCACAAATAGGTCGGCTCGAACGGGGAAGGACCACGCTCTCACAGAATACCAGCATAAAATAGCAGCCTAACACTGCTGTGTTTCATATGGTGAGTGTAGAGAACCGGAGTCCCTTTTTACTGGAAAAGAGGCATTCCATCTTAGTCCTCATGGGTGACAAGGCATCTGCATTTTGATTCGCAAGCGAGGATAGATGTAGATGTCTATGGGCCACAGCAACCACTTACCATCAGGTGGACTGTGTGCTCATTTGTCACCCTATCCTATAAAAAAAAAAAAGTTTCTCCAGTGTTCTTCGGCTTGGAGAAACTGCTGTGCTGCCTGCTCTGTGTGTGCTGGCCTCACTCTTCTTCGAGGTGATCCTCGAGTACGAATTGGTCTTGCACGGCAAGGTGTAGTTTGCCCCGACAAAGCAGGCCCTGGTTGACTTTCTTGGACTTGAGATGAGAGCACAGTTGGAGTGAGCATGCCCGTATCTGTAATAATTTCAAATTTATTTAAAATTATCACCTTCATGAATAATTAAAGTTCTATCTTACTTTCCATTAGTTAAATATGAAAAATATAAATGAAACTCAACAAAATCAATATACCTAGTAGTTGTGTACAAGAACCAAAAAGACAGACAAGTTGGCTTTTTTTTTTTTGAAGTATATGTTTCATAGAATTAGAGAACCAAAACCCAGTTTAAACCAAAATAGATAAAAATAAATAATCATTTAGACGTACCTTCTTCCATTTCTCAGTACTTTTTGTATCACCACTACCATCACTATTCAAAAATTGAGCTAATTCCTCCCAGTTTTTTATACAAGCCATCCTACCTCTTGCATTATTGGATGGTTTGCTGAGATCTCCATGCCTAAAACCAATAAATTTAGTTACAAAATATATAAAAACATATTAATATGTTCCCTAAACACTAAATAAATTAAATTCAACTTACTGCTCCATTAATGTCACCATCGAATCGAATTGGGACGAACTAGTCTTCATATTTTTTTTACTTATAATTATAATTTAATATTTTCAATTAAAATAAATAAATCGTAAGTTCACAACAAACACAAACTGTCAAAGTATATGAATGATGCTATAATAACCACAACTTTGATAGACAGCTTCTAATATTAAGACGACTAAGTAACTATGTCATCCTAAACTTTGTTAGTTTATTTCACGACGCTAAGGTGCTACCAACTTAAGAGAAGGAACGAACGCGATTCACGGTGAGTAAACGCGTATCGAAAGGTTAGCTTCGATTGTAACCCACACTCGCTTGTCTTCACTTGTCGATAGGTATGACCTTAACTCGGTTAACGCGATGGTGAAGTCATTCGAATTATTTTGTGGAACTCGCACTAGGCACACAGTGTGCCTAGTGCGAGTTTTTTACGCGTTCGATACCGAGAAAGTTAACTACAATTTGTATGGAATAAAATCAGCGCCAACTAGTGGCAATAATCGGAATCACAATTCATGAGTTTGAGTTTATTACGTCGTCGATATCGACCATCGAGCATTCACTCGCATTCGACAGTGAGAACGTAAACGCACGTGATTGGTTGTTTCAAGTATTTTGCGAGTGCGAGCGCCGATTTTGATCGTTCAATACGTAAGACGCACATTACACGGTAGGTTTTGCTGTCAATTTTACAACAATCACGGTTGTGATTGACGAATAACCTATCTTGTAATGCGGTGATTGATGGTTGCATGAAATTGATTGACAAATATCTGGATATTTTGATTTTTACGTCAATCAACTATTAGTCAGGAATTTTGATTGAACGTGTAATGGCATTTCGTCAATCACGCGTCAGTCAACGCTTAGACAGCAATGGAGGCGGACGCAGAATATATTGAAGAGGCTGCTTCTACGCGCTCGCGCAGCCCGTCGTCACTCCCACCAAATGTGTTTCAGCCAGAAAAAGATTTTATTTTAAATTTTCAGTCTCTCCCCGAGTTGTGGGACACGAAAAACCCCGGGTAGGTTGGATGCCCCTAATACCAGCCACGCCCCTAATTCCAGCCTTTCCACCTTTTTACTTCGTAAATAAGATTTCTAGTAGTCTTAACTACAAATATGGTCGGCTAAAATTCTTCGTAATTAGAGGAAAGTATATTTCAAATATTACCTCACACTTTTAAACCTAACATATTAAGAATAAGCAAATAATAGTTATTAAGCATAACCTAAAACATAAGCATATTTTACATTAGCTCATCTTTAGGCTTTTTGATTTGTATGAATGTGACTATAGACATAGTAATGCACCTATTTTTGTTTAAATTTATAAGTTTTTTATTTTCTTTTAGTGGAAATTAATGGGGCTGTAATTAGATATACGAAATTTATGGAGTGCATAATGTCAGTCGCCCGACTGTTATTTGGTTTGACGTAAATAATAAGAAGTACCTTATTTCAACCACGTAATATAAATCAGGGCTGTGATAAACTAGAATAAATACCATTAATTTGAACTCACACAGAAAACCAACGTAGAATAGCAGCTTAACGCTGCTGTGTTTCGTATGGTGAGTGTAGAGAACCGGAGACCCTTTTTACTGGCAAAGAGGCATTCCATCCTAGTCCTCATGGGTGACAACGCATCTGCATCTTGAGTCTATATTGAGGATAGATGTAGTCTATGGGTCATAGTAGACACTTACCATCAGGTGGACTGTGTGCTCGTTTGTCACCCTATCCTATATAAAAATAAACATAACTTATTTTATAGTTAAGTAAGTTATGGTCAATTCGTCTATATTTTAAAATTGGTGTTTGATTTAAAAGTTTAACAAACGATACGTACTTGCTTTTCAGACATTTGGTATATGTTAAGAACACCATACAATATTTAATTATTTTTTGGGAAACACAAAAACAAACAATAAATGTAATTAACTACAACTTAGTAATACTAATTTTATTATAACTTAAGAACATAAATGAAAAAGTCATAAAAAGGAAAGTGGTTCAGGACCATGCTTTGCGGCAGTCTATGGAGGATGATGTTCTGTAGTCGACTTGTGAAGGGCTGAAATGATGATAAAGATTCAAAAACTTGGATGATTAAATTATAAGAAATCGGTGTACTATAATACATAATTTTTATTATAATATTATTTTAATTAATTGTTTAGTGTTAAAAGATAAAATGTCACTGCTTAAAGCTAAACCACAGTAAGGTAAGAAGTAAAACATTAAAATAAAATAATTGTTGTCGTCTATCTTAATACATATTCCATACTTGTGACATGCATGATTTAAAATTAAAAGTTGTTATGAATTTATTTCAGTGCCCCTAAAATTTACCTACAATAGGTACCTACCAAAAACTCAAAAGGCATAGCCCTATGCTATGCTGACATTAGATACACAAAAAGAAATTGAAATTGGCACTAAAAGGCTGGTAATAGGGGCATCCACCCTATACGAATAAATGTAAAAGTTAAGCTTATTTTTCGTCTATAAATGCGTTTCAATTATTTGAAAGCGGCTTTATAGCCGCGTATCGATTATGCACTCCAAGAGGTCTAACATTTGTTGTAAAATGATATTAAATATTACAATTTTTCCTATTCGCTTTTTTTTCTTTTTCTTTTCAAGATATAAAATTATAATTAAATGGTGAATCAAAAATGAACTTAGTTTATAGGTACCTACGTCCTTTCACTCCGAAAATTTGGGTTTGACTGACGATCAGTCAGCATGAGCGTGTAATGTCCAAATTATTCCATCATTCAAATCTCAGTCATGATTGATCGAACTGATTGACGCTTGCCTAGGCGTGTAATGGGCGTCTAACATAAACAAACTTTACGCCGTCGATATCGAAAAAGTTTTCACCTAAATTTTGACAGTGAGAAAGCATAGTGAGAACGATTGTTGAAGGTTTCATTTTATTTCGTTTTGTGTGAACAATATTTAATTATGGCAGGACGTTTTTTTTCGCATGGAGGATGTTTGCAGCCGCTAAGGCACAAGATGACCGCAATTATAACGCCAATGTTGAAAGAAGAGCTCGTGCATCTTTCAACCCTTTGTTACATCTCACGGGGAAGCAATTTAAAGATAGATATCGCATTTCCAAGAAAGTCTTCAAGTTTTTGTGTAAAGAGCTAAGGTGTTTGGCAAATCTTAGGTCCTCTCAACGCGTTTCCTTGGAACATAAAGTATGTATCGATCATTAAAGTATTCACATTTTTGCAACTCAAGTTTAAATATAAGTTTGTTCTCTTTTTAATTGCAGGTGCTCACTGCTCTATTATTTTTTGCAACTTGATCCTACCAAAGGCCAGTTGGGGTTGCAAAGGACACGTCTCAAAAAATGTGTAGTGTGTACATAGAAGAAGTTACCCAGGAGCCGACACACAAAAATATAATAAATAAATATATTCGGTTCCCTGATACTCCAGCTGCTAGACAAGCAGTTAGTCAACGGTAATAAATATATGCTTATTTTTAAACAACCTTCTGCAAATTATTCATTAGATTCGGTTAATATTTATTTTAAAATTCAGTTTTTACAGAAAATATGGTTTTTTTATTTGTTTATTATTCCTTGGTTAAAAAGGGGTAGAAAATAAACAAAATGTCTTCTTTTCAGGTACGTGATGGTGAATATAGAATTTTAAATGTGAATCCCAAGCAAATCATGATTCCTTTATATGGGAAAACAGT